AGTTGTTTTGTTTTGTTTTTTTTTTTAATTTAAGTCCTTGGCTTATAGATAACTAAGTTGTTTTTGGGTAAAATAAAACTTGGATTTGCTCAAAATTATCTAGTGGTGGGGGTGGGGGAAGTACAAAGCAGGGGAGCAGGTATAAAGATAAAACAGAAGCGTCATGAGTTGGTAACTGTTGAAGTTGGTTGATGGGGATATAACATAGTTTATCTTCATATTGTATTTTTTTTTAATTTTTTTTTTCAACATTTATTTATTTTTTGGGACAGAGAGAGACAGAGCATGAACGGGGGAGGGGCAGAGAGAGAGGGAGACACAGAATCGGAAACAGGCTCCAGGCTCTGAGCCATCAGCCCAGAGCCCGACGCGGGGCTCGAACTCATGGACCGCGAGATCGTGACCTGGCTGAAGTCGGACGCTTAACCGACTGCGCCACCCAGGCGCCCCTTCATATTGTATTTTTGAATATATGTGAAGATGTCCATAACAAAAAGTTGTGTCTTTTTAAAATTTTTTAATGTTTTATTGATTTTTTGAGAGAAAGACAGAGTACAAGCTGGGGAGGGGCAGAGAGAGAGGGAGTGTTTTGTTTTGTTTTGTTTTAATCCTTGTCTCACCATGCATACCAAAAATTTTTAGATGGATTTAAAACTCCATTGTATAAAAAGGAAACCATACAGCCTGAAGTATGTGTATGCTACCAAGTCATTGTCAGTTTATGGATGATTATTTGTTTAAGGCCCTTAATTAAAAACAATTTTTTTTAACATTTTTTATTTATTTTTGAGAGAGACAGAGACAGAGTGTGAGCGGGGGAGGGGCAGAGAGTGAGGGAGTCACAGAATCTGAAGCAGGCTCCAGGTTCCAAGCTGTCAGCACAGAGCCCGATGTGGGGCTCGAACTCACGAGCCATGAGATCGTGACCTGAGCTGAAGTCAGATGCTTAACCTACAGAGCCACCCAGGCGCCCCTAAGGCCCTTAATTTTAAAAAATTGTTATAGACTTTAAAAAAAAAGGTAATTACACAAAGTATGAAAGGAAAACATATATAACTGTTTATAAAATCTTCAGTAAGGCTGGACTTCCTAAGCATGATAACAAAATCAGAAATGCTAAAGATTTTTACTGAAGCCAACTATAAGCTTTATTATATCAGTAAAGACTGTAAACGAGCCAATTGACAGACTTGAGTAAAACATTCGTAGTATATAAATGACAAGGGATCAACATTATAAAAAGCCTTTGCAAATCAGTAAGAAAATATGAACGTTCAGTATAAAAATTAGCAAAGAATAGTACATAAGCAAGTCACCAAAGAAATATAAATGACTGCTCAATATGTGGGAAAAAAAATATCCAGCCATAATAATCAGAGAAATGCAAGCAAAACAGCCAGGCCACTTTTCGCTCTCAAATTGGCAAGAGTAAAGTGAGGCCAGGGGGCGCCTGGGTGGCTCAGTAGGTTAAACCTCTGACTCTTGATTTCTGCTCAGGTCACAATCTCGTGGTTCGCGAGTTCGAACCCCATATCGGGCTCCGCAGTGCGGAGCCTGCTTTGGATTCTCTCTCTCCCCCTCTCTCCCTCAAAATGAATAAATAAACTTAAAAAAGAGAGAGTACAGCGAGGCCAAAGGTGAAGCTGAGTTTGGCTGCAGTTGGTAGATGCTGGGAGCCATTGAAGGAGCATGAGTTCTCGGTAGACAGAGGAATCTGGTGCCTAATATGGGACGAGATAGAGCTCTGAGCTGAAGCCTGGGCCAGCAGTCTGGGTGTGAGGAAGAGCACAGAGCAGAAGAGAACTGATGGAGAAAATGAGCAGGTCTTGATGGTTAGCAGAGAGCAAAGTCAAGATGGCCAGTGGTGTGGTATGACTGGGAGGACAGTGGCACTGTTGAAGAGAACAGGGATGGACGCTGGGGAGCGGGTGAGGGGAAGTCCAAGGTTTGCTTTTTACACTGTGGGTCACTGTGTTAGTCTAGAGCTTCATTACTAGTGACTGGCCACTGACTCAGATGATTTAGGCTACAAAAATATTTGTTGCCTCACACAATTGACAAGTCCTGGATTAAAGTTTTAGGCAGATCTGGATCTGGATGCTCAAGGGAGGTCATCAGGAGCCTTGTTGTTCTTCTTGCCCAAGGAGGATAGAAGTGGCCACAAGCAGGGGCACCTGGGTGGCTCAGTCAGTTAAGCACCCAAGTTCGGCTCAGGTCATGATCTCACAGTGTGTGGGTTTGAGCCTCGTGTCAGGCCCTGTGCTGACAGCTCAGCACAGCTTTGAATTCTGTGTGTGTCTCTCTCTCTGCCCCTTCCCCCGCTCACACTCTGTCTCTCTCTAAAAATAAATAAACATTAAAAAAAAAAAAAAAAAAAAAAAAAAAAAAGAAGTGGCCACAAGCAGCTCCAGGCTCACATTCTACCAGCTGAGCACAGGTCCTGGAGTGGCTATATTGGCCTGGAGTTTCGCGCTGTGACTGATGAACAGGCTAAGGTCATATGTGCTCCCCCAGAGCCCCACCCAAAGTGGGGGCAATGGTTCTCAAGGGAAAACTGGGGGTCCATCCACAAAGCAGGGCTGGAGCTGAACAGCAAAAACAATAAACGTCCTCTACATTCCATGTCTGAACAAGATCTACACAGACCCCCCCCACTTGTACAATTTTTTTAAATGTTTCTGTTTATGATAATGCAGCTATCCCTCACAAAACGTTAAACACACTTGTCCCATCTCCAGAAGGAGATGTTCCAAGTTCTCATCCACTTACCACATCTAGACCCAATTCAAGATCTTGGTGATGGGCTGTTTGGCAAGGTACTGAGCTAGCCACTCATGGTCTTTCAATTTACGGCCAGACTATGATGGAGGAAAGATCGGATAGCTGAAAGAACAAAACCCTCCCAGCTCAAGAGGGGAGATGAGGAAAAATGCTCAGTGGTCACAGACCCATAGCATGGTCCACATGCTTGACCAGTTGGCAAGGATGAGGTTCCCTGGCTCATCTATTTGGCTGCTATGGTTCTGCCATCTCGAGGAGCCTTCGTTGTTCTTCATGCTCTGTGCCACACACAAAAAGGGGCATTGTGGCGGGGCGGGGTGGGGGGGAGTCACCTCCCACTGACGGCAAGTTTAAGGAGTGAGGAACATTAGTAGCTGAGTAATCCCTGGCCTTTGTTTTCCAGGTTTGTGGGTTTTTCTGGCAATACAATCCCCTTAATCATTAGGAAGCTTTCAGTCAGTTTGCATTCAGTTGTCCCCAGAGCCATTAACCAAACTAGAGACCTCATTGGAAGTTGTAATTCGTGAATCAAGTCCCGGGTGATAGTGTTGGGGGAGGAGCAGGAGTTGTCTCTTAGCAACAGTTCTTGGTGCTCTGCCCTTCCCAGGAGCCATGGCTCTGTTGCCTCTAGCTAGGCCTCTGCAAAGGGCAATGCAAACCCCTAGTCTAGAGTTCATTTGTCCTCTCTCACTCAAGCTGTATCCCAGTGGAAGGCTCTTTTGATGAAAGCAACGATAACCTCTGTCGAGCTGGGAGGGCACAGCAGGAGGGGTTCTTGGAGAGCCTGAGGAGTCAAGAGCCTGTGAGGGCCCAGGTTTGTCTCTGTCTGTTTCCAGCCTCCCTGTCTTTGCTTGAGTTGACTTTAGCTAGAAGCAGAGAACTGGCTCTTAATTATCTGACTCTCAGCCATATTGGATTACTGGCCTCAGGCAGAAAGGGCCTCTCTAGGCAAAGCAGCATTTGCTTCCTGTCTGCTTTCAGATGTGCCCCTTTCAGCCAGAGTGTGTCTCTTTCTTGTCGGACCTTACTGAGGCCATGGGAAAGGCCACACCCCATATGGTGACATTTTTCTACAGGTCCCCTAAAGTTCCAGGTAGGAACATCAGCTGAGCTCGGGAGATAGTGCAAGAGTTTAATTAGCTGCTTTGCTGCTATGTAGTAGGGCTCACCAGCTTCTGAGGAGGGATCTGGTACTATCTTACTTCCCCACTTAATTCAGCTAATTCTTCCTTAGGGCCTATTCCTTTAAAACATTCAGTTTCTCACTCTAATTTCTGGCTTCGGACTTCTTTCTAGTGCAAGTGCCACAGACCCAACTCCAAATGGTCAAGAAAAAAGGGGAACTGATTGGCTCACCCAACTGAACAGACCAGAATCTCAAACAGTATCTGTGAGAAATCTGTCCATCTCAGCTCTGCTTCTCTGTATTGGCTTCATTCCCAGGAGGTTCCTCCCCAAAGAGACAAAGATAGCCCTTGCAGCTCTAGCCTTCCCCATCAGCTTAGAAACCTGAATGCAAAGAGGATGCTTTTCCCCAGTAGTTCCAGAAAAGTCCTGGAGGAATGACTCATTGACTCAACTTGGGCGATCTCTGCCCATCCCAGGACTCTGTTTGGCCAGGTCTATATTACTTTCTTACCCCTGGAGTCGGGGGTGGACCATCAACCCCCACTCAGACCACAGGGACTGAGAAAGTGGGGAAGGAAGGATGGTTCCCCAAGGGCAAAGCAGAATGATTTTACCAGGAGGACTGGGTTCTGGGCTGGTAAAGGGAACAGATGTTCACCCATATATCCATGTGGAAATGCCTGAAGGCAAAGGGAAGTCAAGAGCAAGTCAGGATAGAGAGGCAGAGCTGAGAGTTAGTGGCTTAAAGCTGGGAGTGAATGGGAGCAAACCAGACTGCTGGGGAGAGGGTAGGTATGAAGGTGGACCTCCCATCAGGAGACAGGAAGATTCAGAAGGCAGTAAGAAGAGGAGGTCAGAGAACCCAAATGGGGCAGCTTCATGGCAGCCTGTAAAGACAGACTGGTCATTAGTATGAGCGGTGGGACCAGTGGGGGAAGATCCTTGATGACAACTGGATTGATAAGCAGTGGTCTGTGACCCGGAGGAGCACAGGACAGCAGAGGGTGGTTGAAGGCAGTTAGGAAGAGGAGAGCAGTGACGAATAGGGTAGAGATTCCACAAGGCAGGAGTGGTGTGACCAGAAGCCAGAGATGAGGGAGGATGGGCAGCAGGAGTTGAGAGTGAGCAGGGTTAGGATGCCAGGAAGGGTGGTGTCTTGTGCTAGAAGCCTGAAGAGGACAAATACGGTGGCCCTTGGAGTAAAGGGCAGGGCAGGGGCACTTACTGGAGACCAACCTAGCAAAGAAATTTGAAAAAGGAGCTACGTGCCTAGCATGGCAGGGATGGGAGTATGTGGTACAGAAACAGGACAGGAACAAACAGGGACACACACACAGGTATCATCAGGTGAGGTGACAATTTGGTCACTGCAACATGGTACCAATAGTTTGTCTTGATGGGTATTTCCATCAAGGTGGAAATAACACCTTCTTTTAAGGATTTCTTAAAGTGTATTTATTTATTTGGAGAGACAGAGAGCGAGAGAGCAGTGTGTGTGCGTGAGCAGGGGAGGAACAGAGAGAGAGAGGTAAGGGAGAGAGAATCCCAAGCAGGCTGTGTGCTGTTAGCACTGAGCCCGATGTGGGGTTTGATCTCAAGAACCAGGAGATCATGACCTGAGCTGAAATCAAGAGTTGGGATGCTCAACCAACTGAGCCACCCAGATGCCCCAAAGATTTGTTTTCAGAGGTAACATACATACAGCCAAATACATACAGTACACTAACCTTATGTATACAGCTTGATTGTTTACGTATACACGTACTCACATGTAAAACCACCACTCATATCAAGATCTAGAGCATTTTCAGCATCACATGTGGTTCCCTCCTGCCCCTTCTCAGTTTATCGTCCCCAGGAGTAACTTCTATTCTGACTTCTGTCATGATCAATTTAGTCTGTTCTTGAATTCCATATGTATGGAATCCTCCAGTATGCACGCCCTCTGGCTCCTTTCATGCAACATAATATTGAATGGATTCATCCACGTTGTTGAATGTACCCGTGCTTCCTTTTCTTATTGCTGGATAAAATTCCATTATGAATATATTACAATTTATCCATTCTACCGGTGTTGGGCATTTGGGTTGTTCAAGTTGGAATATAGCTTGGAAGTGTTATACATAATAATAATGCCTTTCTCTCCCCTTCCTCCCCCCTTAAAGAATCCTCATTCTTTCTCACTCTCATACATGTACAGGCCCTCCCACCAGTACCGGAGCAGGCCAGCCTCCTCCAGGAGGTCAAGCCATTGGTATCCCCTCGCCCCTCCATTATGGGCATGGGTTTCCTGGGGAAGCACATTTCCTTACAGGTGGGGATACCACCCTCCTAAGTCTTACTCCCTCTCTTCTAGCCTCCTCGCCCCTGGCCGTGAGCGCCCTGGGCCTTCCTGACCTCGCAGGGGGGCTCGCCCGCAGCCCCCCA